TCTCAAAACAAGATCAAAAAGACTTTTTGGCTGATATAAGGTTTTAAAACTTGGTTAGATGGACAATTTTTGCAGTGTTAGGTTAGGGTTATTTTTTTGACACAACACCTACTGCCCACCACTCTCCTCAACAACAACAACAACAACAACAACAACAACAACAACAACAACAACAACAATAATAATAATAATAAATTAACAAACAATGTTAGAGTGCACCCAGTACATATTGAAAGGGAAGTAGAAAATGAAAGTGAAAACTAAACGAGCTCAGCTTCACTGCCAGACTACCAGCACCCCCCATCCATGTTGGGTTATTTGACTGGCTAACACAACTGGCTTCACTTACAGTTGGGATTGTCATTTTCTGTAAACAGATTGTATATTTGTAAACGTATTGTCACTAACCATCATTTGTTGAGAAGAATAAACTTAGATTTGCGCATGCAAAGAAGTTATTTGAAGAGCAGGATTTAGATGAACGATGCAGCCGTGAACATCTGCATCMTTCTCATTTTTCCTGTTGAGAAACTTATAGACATCTGATATTGTATCATTGTGACCTTTGACCAGTGCCTTTACGTGTAAGTGACCTTTAATAAACTCACCACTCCCTGCCATGGTGGCACATATAGCTGAATGTCAACCCAACAAGTCAAAACTTTATTTTAAGAATAATTTCTAATTCCATTCTGGACAATGGGAGCATACATTTGACACAAAAATGCTGTTATAGAAATCTAAATAAGTAGATTTTCGATGAACCTCTTTTTATGACTAAAAATATCTTATCTGTTCAACTGTAAGCACTTTAGCAACATTTTTATTGACAGTATTGCCTGTGGTTGTTTAAAACTACTGTAATTTATCATGATATAGATAAAATATAGTTGTCACTGTGTACTTTGGATATTTCTAAGTAAAATTAACCTTTAGAATAATGTCAGGAATAGGATGTTGTGGAATCCAAAGGGCTGCACAAAAAATCAAAAGTTTATCACAAATATCCATGTGCACAATAACTATCAGAAACGATTGCAAGACCATCACAGGCACAAGCTGAACGCAAATAATACTGTTAGCTCATCAAATGGAGCTTTGCTGCCCTAAATGGTTGCATCAGATACATAATTTGCTAAAGAAAGTTGAGGTGTTATGGAGCATCGTGATGACAAACAGACAAAAGCATGAGAAAAATATAGATTGATTGTAGTCGACTTAGTGATCAGGGTATCCATCAATATTATCACAATTACATGTTTTCTTAATGCAGCCTTACAGACTGCTGGCTCAAATCTATTTTACCTACATGTGATCTATATCTGATTATTTTTTAAATATCACTACGATATTAAATTGGACCTATAATTGATGTTTTGTTTAAAGAGAATAGAGTTTGAATGGTCATGTCATGCTATAAAACACTGGATCTGAACAAAAAGTCAGGATTCAGCATTATAACTTTCAGTGTGAACAGGGCCTAAATCTATAGACACTTTATTGTGTCTTTATTGGTTTTCATCCTTTGCAATTGTTTTCTCTGACCTCTTTAAAGCCATGCGAAGTCTTACAATCTGGCCTGGTGTGGGACAGACAGTAACATCAGCTGTCCACATGCAACATGATGTGTGCTGACCTGAGTATGAACTCCTGGGAAGGAAGCTTATCAAAGCTCTAAATGAAGATTTAATAAAGCTTCTTAATTTACTCAACAGTGAAGTTTTGTTTAATTTTTGGCAGATATGCTTTATACAAGCTGTATGTCTTCAGAGTTCACTTTTACTGTATTATCTACTTGTATGAAGGATTTCTTTGCTATTTAGTTTATTTCTCTCTCTCTCTCTTTTTAATCCAGGAGGCATTCACTGCTTTTCATCCTGATGAGAAATTTGTGCAAAAGTTTCTGAAGCCGCTGCTGRTCGGGGAACTGGCGGCGACAGAGCCGAGTCAGGACCAAAGCAAGAACGTAAGTGTTTAAAAAAAAATGCCTTCCTGAAGCAGTCAAGAATGATCTCACCTCAGTTTTGTTTTTTAGGTGTTGAAGATTTTTCACATCAGTTCTGCGCATGGTTCATTAGATTTGAATGTTTGTGTTATTTTCTTTCTGCCCTCAGGCGACAATCAAGGAGGATTTTGATCGCTTACGAGAACAAGCAGAGAAGGAGGGTCTTTTCCGAGCTCAGCCTCTGTTCTTCTGCCTCCATCTGGGTCACATCCTGCTGCTGGAGGTCCTCGCCTATTGGATGGTTTCTCAGTGGGGGACGAGCTGGATGCTGACGTTGCTGTGTGCGGTGATGCTGGCAACCTCTCAGGTACTTGGAGCATTATTGTTGAATATTTTTTTTGTCGTAGAGCAGGGGTCTGCAACACGCGGCTCTTTGGTCCCTCTGAAGTGGCTCTTAAACAAACATGAGATCCTTTTTCTGTTTTTATACCCACAACCGAAAAGGCTAGCTTTAGCAGCTTTCCTGTCAATTTGTTTGCAAATATGTGATCGATACGACRAATACAAGAAGTGAAACTTGTATCCTACTTCCATCCTTATAGTCTGATCCTTCTCTATGATCTCTCTATTTTTTTCATTTTGCATTACCTGTAAGGTAGTTTGCTTAAAATAAATATAGTGAAAAATATAGTGAGTTGACTAGATAATAAAAAGAATTAGGAATAAAGAATCTTGCCTGCATAGTTCAGTGTTTTAACAATTAAAAAATGGTTTAAACTATGTGTTTACACGAATAAGGTGTTAATTATTTACCAAGATACCTCAAAATATGAAGAACGACAGACACAGCAGCTCTTTTACTTGCAAGGGTTCAAAAGTTTACAGACAGTACAGACATGCACGTAAGCAAAGAGATGAACATCGATCATTTGTCTAAAGAGGCATTTATCCTCAACTTCCTCATTATCACGAGGTCTCAGTTCTCATTCATCTGCAGATGTCTTGTAGTCTAGGCCATATTTGGTAAACCCCTGTTCAGTTCCAAACATCAGCCTGCAGGTTTCTCATAGATTAGGCTAATGAGACGGCCTCGTGCGTCACACCTGAAGTTGAAACGTTCATGATGCAGAGTACAAGACAAAACAGTTCTTCTTTTGATAGTTTGATCAACAGTTACCACACGCTCCATAAAATAAACTATCCTGTCCATCACTAGTCTCAGGCCGGGTGGCTGCAGCACGACTTTGGTCACCTTTCTGTCTTCAAGAAGTCCAAGTGGAATCACCTGGTGCACAAGTTTGTCATTGGACATTTGAAGGTAAACTTTTCTGGTTTCAACAATACTGTCTTGTAAATGTTACACTGATGGTTAAAGACTTTGTTTTTTCTTTTAAAGGGAGCTTCAGCCAACTGGTGGAACCATCGCCATTTCCAGCATCACGCCAAACCCAACATCTTCCGGAAAGATCCGGATATCTACATGTTGGACATCTTYGTACTTGGAAACACGCAGCCTGTGGAGGCGAGTAGATTCAGGACGTGTTCTATTTTAAATCATTAAAAAGCCATCTAACCTAATTACTCTCGCTTCTTTCTTCTTTTCCTTTGCAGTACGGCGTAAAAAAGATCAAATACATGCCCTACAATTACCAACACCACTACTTCCATCTCAGTATGTCTCATTAAAGTCATTAGTTTTAATACAAATAACTATGTTGCATTAATTTGGATTTCTTTCTGTTTCAGTTGCTCCACCACTTCTTATTCCTGTTTTTTACAACTTTAACATAATGAAGACCATGATTACCCGTCGTGACTGGGTGGTAAGACTTTGTGTTGTRTGCCGCTGATCATTCTAAAGGTTGATGACAGAATAGTGTAAATATTGTACATTTTAAGTCAAMTYAAGAGACGTTTGAGTCACAATTCTTCCTGACRACAAAACAATGACCYTTTTCTTTGAAAGGATCTGGCTTGGGCCACAACTTACTACCTCCGCTACTTCTACTGTTATATACCACTGTATGGCTTGTTGGGCTCATTGGGACTCATGTTTTTTGTCAGGTAAATATGCTTAAAGATAAACAGCAAACGGTCAATGTGTTTTCCTGTAATCGTACAATCTTGTAAATTTTGTATTCTTGCAAAAATAGCCATAACTACCAGGATTATTTTCATTTCTCAGTGTTTAAATCCTCATAAAGTGCATCTCACTTCAGTGTTGTTCACTCCACAGGTTTTTAGAGAGTCACTGGTTTGTGTGGGTGACTCAGATGAACCATCTGCCCATGGAGATCGAGTACGAGAGACGCCAAGACTGGCTGACCATGCAGGTTTCTGATTTWTCATAAAGTATTGTCACGTCATAGAGACTTGATGTGCTGCTGCTTCAACAGGAAAATGCCTCTAAATGACACTGATGGCTTATTTCAATCAAGAAATGTTTTCAAGCATTTGGGACCCGTCACATTAAATGAGGATTAGGTTGCAAGTAGTGTAATGAGGTAATAGGCAGCTGTAGTGCAGTGGTAGAAAAATTGCAATAATTAGATTCTATGAATACCTTTCTACCCAAGCAGGATACTCAAAGTRCTTTACACTACAATCTGTCCTCATTTACACATTCACACACATGTATTCAGCACTCTACTAAATCTCACTACAAAACTGATACAGGTAAATCAAATCAATCTATAGAGACTAATCAGTGCAATAGGCTTTYAGTGTCTTGCCCAGGGACACTTCAGAATAGCAGGGAATCATACTACACACTCTYGCATTAAAGGAATGACTGCCCTAACCAATCAGCCACAGCCGCCTGAGAATGATAACACGATTGTGTGCTAATGTGGCCTTGTTTATGTTTTCTGTTTTAGCTGATGTCTACATGTAACATTGAGCAATCCTTTTTCAACGACTGGTTCAGCGGACACCTCAACTTTCAAATCGAGCATCAGTAAGTCTGAAGWTTCAGTCTAAGATGTGAACTCACAGCTGAAGCAGAGCAGTGTCAGCGATTTGCCACTGAAACAATCAGAATAAAAGAAAAATACTTGGCTTTTCTCTAAGRGGATAAGCATGACATGTCGGCATAGATATGCAAACAAAACTGTAGTGAAATGGAAAACAGCTTCAAAATAACATCTTATATAGTATTTAAATATATAATGTCCAAAACAACAAGAGAAAGGTGAGGTTAAATGGACTCCTGTCTATCTGAAGGGGGTCCCATCAGATCTCAGGGGGGTCTACTAACAAAAACATACCAGACCCAGTTTTACCTGATCCTGATTCGCTCCTCATTTTATCAGCAAAAAATAAAATAAAATAAAACAGGAGAGTGAATGAAACTTGGTAGACATTTAGGTCTGATCTGTATATCTCATGTCATCTCGTTTCTTTTTCTTCAGTTTGTTTCCTAGGATGCCACGGCACAACTACCACCTGGTGGCGCAGCGGGTCCAAGAACTGTGTGAGAAACACAAGATCCCTTACCAGATGAAAACTCTGTGGCGAGGAATGGTTGATGTTGTGAGGTAAAAAACTAATTAATAAACGTATTARTTGATTGGTACAACTGTTGACCCTGACTGCAAATTTGTTTTCTATATTTTGAGTCTGTTRTTCACCTGCTTTTTCCTCTTCTTTTCTCACTTCTCAGGTCACTAAAAACTTCAGGGGATCTTTGGCTCGATGCGTATCTCCATAAATAAACTGTACGCAGACAAAGTGATTGTTTTTTTTTCTCCGTCCTCATCAAAACTAAAGAAAAACCAAGCTGATGAWAAATAATAGACTAATTTTTACCTTTTGTCATTGTAAAAGTTACAAAAATGGCCTTAATCTTTAGGGTGCAAAGCATTTTTGATTGTCAACTATAGTGTAGTGATGTTTTAAGTGATAAAAAAAACTGTGAATAATTCAAAATGTTTAATCCCATCCTGCCTTGTAGCACAGCTTGGGCAGTAAGAACCATCAGAAGAGATGTAAAGAAAAAAAATAAACCTTTCTGAAACCTGAACTAAAAATGTGACGTTTCTTCTGTTTGCAGCTCACTTGTTCTTTTTTTGCACAATTAAAGATTTATATTGCTGTCAATTCAACAGTTATTTTCAAAGAATTTGTTGTTTAAAAGCTCAATAAGCATCAGCTTCTGTCAGGAAGAATATAAAATATTGTTGCATTTAAAACTGCTTTCTATAATGCAAAAATATTGCAAGGTAATATAGTTCATATTTTATGGAGGGGGGCACTAGTGAAACAAAAATATCTTACCTGTTGTAGATAGTTCTCTGAAAGATCTTGAAATGGAAAAAGTTYAATTTTGACTGAACTGATGAGCTAAAGGCTAGTCTGAGTGCAGCCAAGACCAAAGTAAATTTAAACAACTAATCTTGGTTTACAGACTTTCATGCAAACTATTTTATAAACTTGCTGTGAGTTTTTCACTACATGTTTATTTATGCAGAATTCAATAATTATTTGTGATACAAATACCAGCAGCAGCAAATCACAGCACTTTTGGGGCAATTTAGAGCGCTTCTATCAAGAATATTACAAATAATTTGAATAATTGAATTTCTAAAGCCCTTTTTTGAGCAGTAGCAACAAACAATATTTTGTCATTTTCCCTGCTAGCTAGCAAAGCTTTTTTTCCAGTTGGGAAAYATTAAAAATTCCTCATTAGAATAGGATTCAGTGCTAATATCAATGTACTGTCATGATTACCAACTCAAATCAAACCATATCTCTGGAACTGCTCATGATWTCAGGATGATCCAGGGATCAAAATGTAGCTTAAAGAGCAGGAATCTGAAAATGTGCTTASGTCAATTTGACTTATTCTCCAGTTTGATGTGATTGGKCACATAATATTCAAGTTTTAGACCCATTTTAAAACTTAATTTCTATCAAAAATCTTAAAAAGGTTTGTTTTTATCCAACTACAGTCCATTTTAAATGTCCAAAGAGTAGTCTAGAACAGGTAATAGGCTGTTTGTTCTTAAAGGGATAGTCTGGTGATTTTTGAAGTGATGTTTTCTCTAAAAGTAGTCCCCAAAACATCCATGTTTATTACATGAATGTCCACCTGATCAGCACATCTGGTCAGTCCAAACGTCAGCTAAACTCCCAGCGCCTCAGTTTAGTTAGCCATTAGTCTAGACTTCTGCCTTTTTCTTCATTAATATTATTCTTATTACACATTCTATTAATAGTTTTTGACAGAACATTACTTCAAAAATCACCAGACTCTCCCTTTTACCCTCAACCCYCCACTTTAAAAGATCTGATCTATCTAATAAGCTGGTGACAAAATGAACTGTGAACTGAAAAGCTCTTGTAAAATATTTACAAAGTCGATTTATTGAATTATGGTCATCTCAAACATCACATTCCAAAAATATTTACAACACAAAGAATGTCTTCATTTCATTATTTAAACCAGAACAGCTCGTGTAGACGTTACACTGCTGAATTTAGCTTTTTGTTGTGCAGTTTACACAATAAAACCWCCTGTTCACAAAACATTAATGACATCATCTCACTGTTACAGATAACTTCATGCAGGCAGAATTATTGCTTGATACTTTGTCCAAAGTATATGAAAATWGGGGGAAAAGAAAACTAAACAGCAAGAACATTTATTTTATCAGTCAACACCATTGAATACATTGGTGCTGATTTATTTTGTTATTATTGTTATTATTTTTTGCTATTAGTGACATGTTTATTTTTGTGAATGTTAATATGAAAAATAATTGGCTATATAAACAGAAAAAAGTCTAACATTCTGGCACTGATTAAAAAGACAACAAGGATTTACTTCTACAGTGAAATTATGGAAACAGCTGCGATAGTAGGAATGAACGTAAGCGCCGACCCCCACGCCGTTCGTATACGTGGACGTCACATGCATGTCATGCACAGATATTTGCACGAAACAAACACCCAACTGCACATTTTTTAAGTTGCTCCTCTCAGCAGGCGATCCCTCCAACCATTTCAGAAATTAAGAAGAATGCAGCGTAATTTGAAAAAGAAGAGAGAAAAAAGACACTTGAATAAACAACATTGTACAAAATAAATATACAATTAAGAAGGAATATWTTTGATTTTTCTACTGTTGATCACAATTAAACAGTAGATTAATTTAGTAAGCTGCATCACTGTGAAAGCTGGGGGAGAGGAAACATCTGGCGGAGGAAGAGGAAGAGGAAGAGGAGGGGTTTGTCTTGTTCAACATGTTCACTCTTTGGAGCCAGAGTCGATTCTCTCCTGCCTTCGCTTCATGATCTCTTGCAGCTCYGAATCCCCACGAGATTTCTGGAAGGGAAAGAAATGTTCTGATCAAACGTCTCTCAAAACACACTTCTTATAACTAATAGTTTTGTTTGTCTTCTTAACAACTAATTGTTCTGATATATTTTTTGTTATTCTTTTTTTCACCCTCTCTTCTACCTCCATGTCCTCTCTGATTGCATCCATATGTCTCCTCTTGGTCTTCGTCCTAGCAGCTGCATCTCTAATATTCTTCTACCAATAGTCAACCCACTGTCCCTCCTCTGGACATGTCCAAATCATCTCAGTCGAACTTTWTCTCCCAGTCCTTCAACCTGAGCTGTACCTCTAATCTTATTCATCCTCGTCGCTCCCAAGGASAAACTCTTCTTCAGCTCTGACACTTCCTCGTCTGTGTTTGTCAGTGTTCTCGTCTCCAAACCATAAAACACAGATGGTCTCACGACTCTCTTGTAAACCTTTCCTTTGACCATTGCTTCCAGCTTTTTGTTACAAATCACTCCTGTAACTTTTCACACATACTTCGCCTTGCTTTGGTTGACTTTCAATCTAGCGGTGCACCGATAAACCAGCCGATACTCTGATAAGATTGGTGGAAAATCGGCTTCTCATCTACACCCACAAAGTTCTGAAAAACAGCCATTGTCCTCTTTTACTCTGCTGTGAGCACTACCTAATGTCCAGTTAAAACAAGTTTGTATTGTTTCAAGGGTTCATTGTGACCTCAGAACACCAGACAGTGTAAAATGTTTAAAAAAATTGGTATCAGACAAAATCTGAATCGGCAGGTCAGACTTTTCAAAGTTAGGAGATCGGCCAGAAAACTGCMATCGATGCACCCCTATTTCAGTCTTCTTTCAAGTGCATACCTCCACCTCTCCAAGTTCTCTTCCACCTGTTCCCTGTTCTCCTCACATTGGGCCTCATGCAAGAACATGTTCRTATTCTTATCCTAAATTTCTCTTACTTTTGTTCGTACAAAGGGTTCGTACGAACATGTCAYGTCAGATTCAACAAACTCTTCTATCTTCAGGAAAAGTGTGTAAATGAGCTGCGTAAATTTCACCTGTTTGTATCCAGCTGCTCATGCACGCGAGAGGAGATTAGCATAATTACCACCCCAAAAACACCATATAAGGATATGTTTCCTGCCTCAGATACAAGGAAGTGTCCATTCATGAAAATGACAGCGAAAACTAAAAATAAAAACTTTACGAGTTCAGAGATTAAAGTCCGTCTGTCAGAGATCCAGAAAAGAAAATCTGTCATTTTTAGCAGGTCAGCTGTGGGATAAAAAGAGCTGCTAAAAGTATAAACAACTGTGTTAAATCATTTTCATTTATTCAGAAGACACACCGTTGCGAGAGAGAAGTGGGTCTCTCTGCTGCTGGCCCCGCACCCGATCCCGGTTAAGCGGCGGAAAATGGACTAACGGACAATTTATATTGTTAGTCTAAATTATTTCATTTAAAATTATAACTCTAATTCAAGCAGAATAGCCTATTGTCAACATAATTATGGAGTGTGATTTATTTTCAACTCAAAATATCTTCAAACTAACGAAATATAAAGTTATAAGGGAGGAAAATCAGTCTGGATAACAGCAGACAGTTGACTGCTCGTAAAATATACGACAGGTCTGGACCACTCGTGAATTTTGTTCGTATCTGAAAAAAATCTTAGAATACGAAAACATTGGTGAATGCCACAAATTCTCCTAAATCACTCGTACGCACAACTTAAGAACAAATCTGTGCGTACGAACGGTTCTTGCATGAGGCCCATTGTCATCTGCAAACGTTGTCCAATCCTTGATGCAGTTCCACCTCCACTGTGAAGCTATCGGACACTTCTACAGCTCACCTCACCACTGTCCCGTCCTCATACATGTCCTTTTTATTTTATGCTACATATAAATAATAATTATCAGTAAACCGTATAAGATCTGTAACGTTTTAGCAGCAGTTCATTCATGTTTGCTAACGTGCTGTTGCAGTATTTGTCCAGCAGGGGGAGGCAGAGGAGAAATATTTGATGCCATTTGACCTGAATGAACTGAGGTCATCTAAACCAAATGCAAAAGTTCAGCCTAAAAAGTCTAATTATTGTAAAAATTGTTGTCATATTACTGCTTTTTAGCAAAAGTGGAAAGTGGCCTGTGGTCTGATAAGTCCACATTTCAAAATGTTTTTGGAACTCATAGACAATGTGTACTCTGACCAAAGAGGAAAACTGTCCAGATTGTTATCAGTGCAAAGTTCAAAAGCCAGCCTCTCTGATGGTATGGGGGTGTATTGGTGTCCATGGAAAGGGTAACTTGCACATCTGTGAAAGCACATTAATGCTAAAAAGCTAATACAGGTTTTGGAGCAAAATGTTCTGCCATCAGAGCCACGTCTTTTCCAGGGACGTCCTGCTTATTTCAGCAAGACAATGCCAAGCCACATTCTGCACGTGCAGGTACTGGACTGGCCTGCCTGCAGTCCAGACCTGTCTCCCATTGAAAACATGTGGTGCATTATGAAGAACAAAATATCACAATGGAGACCCCAGACTGTTGAGCAACTGAAGTTGTTCATCAAGCAAGAATGGGGAATAATTTCACCTTCAACCTTCAACAATTAGTGTTCTTGGTTCCCAAACACTTATTGAGTGTTGTTAAAGGGAAAAGGTGATGTAACACTGTGGTAAACAGCTGTTTTGTAACATGCTGCAGTCATCAAATTCAAAATAAGTGAATATTTGAAAAAAAAAGTTTATCTGTTCGAACATTAAATATCTTGTATTCAGTTTTTATTAACGTTTTACACAACGTCCCATCTTCATTGGTATTGGGGTTGTAACTGTGACATGAACAAGTCCTGTCAGGTGCATCTTTTTATGGGGAACTCAACCAGTTTTTCCATCCTAAACTTGCATTCATTACACTGCAACTCTTATAATTTGACAGCTGACAGCGGATTTCTCAAAGTTTACAACTTGTTTTAACTTGTTCACATAAATTTTGAAAATTGAGATTTACTTTTCCCATGGCATCCAAAAAAAAAAAAAAACAGGCTCACTGTAAGCAGAGTGTGCATACACAGTAGCAGACAGATGAGTGTGACCGACCTCTAGCTGTGCTTTCTGCACAGACACCAGGCTGTAGACACGACCGCCCTCTTCTCCACACACTGCCTTCAGCTCTTCTTTATTCAGGGAAAACAGCTGCGCTCCCGTCAGGATTCCCAAACACTCAACAGTCCTGCACGAAATAAATACAGTTTCATGGTTTATTCACATACAGAAACACAAACGTTTTATTTCTCAGAGCAGCGAACGAAGCAGTGAAAACCCAGATGCACACTTCTGAAGTCACTGTGATGGCAGGAGGAGGGCTGATAAAAACTGGATTCCACTTAGGAGGTGACTCGAACAAATCTATGACTTCAAGTAAAACTTTGTCACTAATCACCCATTAAAACCCATCCTTCAAACACATCAATTCAAAAATAATATTCTTCAATTAATATTGGCCAAAGGCTGCAAGAAACTAGTAAAGTCCTGATAGGTGGCCAGTTTTTTCCACAACATGACAATTTGTGCTCAACTTAAGACATCTCTGACAAGTGTCCTCCCTTTACAACATATGTTGCAGCATATTTAGACAAAATAATACAGGTTGTGCAGAAAAAAAAAACAGTGAAAAGAACGTCACTCCGTTTATTTGTTGCACCAAATACAAGGCTCAAATTCAACCCACCCTACTAGAACGACTGACCTTAGCTGATGACTGTTTCTAGAAAGCTTCTGTTTCTAGTATCCTCTGCACTAAACCAGTTTATGGTTCCATAATAACAGAACCAAACGACTGCTGTAAGTTGCAGTGTAACTTAGTAGTTAGCACTGTTGCCTAACAGCAAGAAGGTCCTGAGCTCAACTCCAGGTTGGACCTGGGGGTCTTTCTGTGTGGGGTTTACAAGTTCTCCCTGTGTGCATGGATTTTCTTTGAGTACTCCGGTTTTCTTTCACAGTCCAAGAACATGCATGTTTATGCTACCTTCAGGAGATCTGTGCTCTCAGAGGAATTTGCCTGGTTAAATTCAAGTTATTAGTTTGGCAAACAGAAGTAAGCTTTTCCATAATAGACTTTCAAAGACTTCACCCTCCAAGTAACACTTGTCTAAAAACTGCTAAACATGCATCTAACTTACAATCCAGAACCTGTTTTATCTTTACTGTTTAAAACAAGCAGATGTCCATTGTTGCACTAATCTGACTCACTTGCAGCCTCTTAGCACCATCACCTTATAACAGTCCATCTATTCTCAGCACACATTTACATACTAACACAGATGTTTGGTTTCATGCAAAAGTGTAAAAGACATTATTAGCTAATGAAGCATTCAGTCACAAGGGTGTGTTTCTTTGAGAAAAAGTTTTATAACTAAAAAAATGCAGGCTTTGATTTGGCTAGCCGTTAGCCTAGCCTGGAGTGTTCTGTCATTTTCTCCTCTCTCCGTGCTATAAGACTGATAACATGACTGATAAGGTATTAACTAAACTTAGCACAAAGGTAAGGAACTTGGTGTTTGGCAGATTATTTCTTTGATGTAACGATGCTTCTTGGCAATAAATCTTATACTGTTAAAAGCCTGTTAATTTCCTGTTAATTTTAAATGGTGCCCCGTTTGTAAGGAACATGCATTTGTTTTGAGCTTCTGGTACAACCAGGTGCTACCAGTCAGGTGCCCGCTATAAGATACATTGTTACAACAAAGACATAATCTACCAAACACAATTATCCTTACTTTTTGTGCTATATAAATATATTAATAACTACTTGACAAAATATTACTTAAAAAATGATCAGACTATCATTTTAATAGCTTTGTTTTGTCTATATAAATTTGACGAGATAATGAGTTCACAACTAAACCATCACCAAGTTCATTTTAGCAAACATTTACTGTTCATATATTATTACCCTAAACTTACACACACACACACACACACACACACACACACACAC